TCCAAAGAAAGCGCGGTAAATCGCGATATGCGTCAAAAACGAGCGTCGAGAAGCCGTACAGATAGACAACAAAGCCCCCCTTTCTTCTTGCTGCTGGTGATTCTGGAGGTTTGCTTATTTGCAGTCTGGTAGCTAAGATAGATGGTCGTGGCAGAATGGCAGCTCGTAGTTGGCAGTAAGCAGGTTCAGCGAGTGTGTCGTATGCGCATGGAATGGCGGGCAGAAAGGGAGAATCGGGATTTTCCAAAGATAGATATATCAAAGCAATATTAAGAAGCTATAGAGAATGACCGTAGGTAAACAGAATAGGGAGAAGATGCCAGGAGTCGTGGGCAAGTGAGTACTGTAAAGAATGAGCAGAGAGAACGAAGGATTGAATAGGGTAAGATACAAGAGGCGGAGAAAATAGGATCGGTAGAGGTCGAGGAGAGGAGAGGCGATGAATAGGGATGGATGAAGAAGGGTTAAGGAGAGACGAAGCGGACAGGGGGGGATGTGAAAATGAGAGGTGAGGCAGAGACCCAGCCAGCCCAGACTTTGCGAGGCCCGGCGCTGCAGACGAGCTGTTTCGCGAGCGCCAGGAACGACAGGTGTTGTGAGTCGGAGAGTGGTAAGGCAGGACAGGGACAGGCCGGCGGAGGACAGGGACAGGAACAGGAACAGGCAGGAGCTGGGGCAGAACTGGAGCTGGAGGGCAGAAGAACTCGAAGCCTCTCAGCAACAACAGCAAGCAACCTTGAAGGTGCCAAGGAATAGCTGGATGTATTCTGTACATACGATCACAGCGAGCGGTAGCAGAGAGTGCTGGTATCCCTCAGTCCTCCATACCCGTATTCCGTACCTCATTCCACTAAGTTTCCATGCCTGCATGTGCCTTTGCCCGCCCACTGCAGTCGCGGGACTGGGCGCTGACAGAGTTGACTGCTGCTGCCGCTGTCGTTCGGCCGCCTTGAGTGCTGTGACCAACAATAGTTGAACTGCGTCCCGCAACGGATGATTCTTCAGGCATAGCCAGGGGGGTCTCTCCGTCTGCAAGGGACAAGGGGCCATGAGTGACGCTCATTGGACGAGAACGCCAAGAGTGGACGCTGTCGACGGGGATTCGGTTGCAGATTGCTAATAATGGGGGCCGCTAGTTTGATTAATTCTGATCAAAAATGGATATCGACGTTGATGAAGAGTCGTGTCTTCTGTCATCAGGCGCTCGACGCAGTTCGGCACTCACATTTGGCTTCGACTCTGGGGATCTGGCCACTCTGATGATGGCTGATCAGAAGCCCGCGGGGCTGCCGGATGGTCGAGTGTCTCTCTGCAGCAACATGATGGGCCATGACGACTTCTCGCAGTCATGCAGTTGGGCGTTCCAAGCGTCTGTGAAGTCTAGAATCGCAATTGACTTTATCAATGCTTATAGCTCCGTATTCTCTCCCGTGCTGGGCCATGGTACAGTAGTTCACGGGACTAGGGCAGCCGCTAACAAAAACTCAATCGCGTTGGACTGTACCATTCCGGTCGCTACATAATAGTAGCGGGCAGTAGTCTGGCCCCCATGTACAGACAGATGTTGCTCAGCGAGATGGCGTGGACTGCAACCCGTAATCTGTACAGCTACACATCCGCATCTGAAAGCCAACAACGTGAAAACAACAAGCGGTTGGCCGGATCTTCTTGTCAAATGATGAGGTGTGAGGCTGTCGAGGTAGTACCCCTCATAAGCGTCGCGTCTCCGTCGGTGCACCTCGCAAGTTGAGCTTCTTTGATACGCCTCTTGACGAGGTAGCGCTGGTTTCAATTGGCCTTGCGGCGACAGTCGCTGCTACACAAATACGAAGAGTGCTCATTCTACTTGCTGGGATTATCCCCATAGGGCCTCATATGTATGATTCTCCAAGTCCCATCTAATTTGTTCATCGATTGGGAGTTTGGAACTGCGAGAGTGGAAATCAACCTCGATGCCAGAGCAACAGTCTACATACTTACAAGTAGCAGGTATATCCGCAACATATCATGTGTAGATAACGCCTGAACCATGTATTCAGTATGGGCAACATTCAGCCTCGTAGCAGTTGTGAAGGGCTCTGTAGTCGTCACGGCCCAACGAGTCAATTTCGAGCAACAGCAACGGCCTATCTACAGATACATACAGGTGATTTCAGATTGTCAGGGTTCGACATAACGAATTTATCCAAAAGAAGCAATATCGAGGTCTATCACCCAATATCGACCACTCACATAATCGACCATTCCTGATATTCTCAAATATCACCGACTAGTACAGTCCAATCTTGGCCCGCTCTACGGATCTGTACAGTCAGAGTACAGTGTCGTTGAGCGTGCTTTTTTTCGCATCACATCCTCTAGAGTCTACATATTCAGTCCAAGGTCACAGTTGTAAAGGGGTTTGGCCAATGGCATCGTCAATTTGTCGAAAACAACAATAGCATTCTTGCCTGCCGCCTGTTTCAAATTGACTGTTGATTGGCTCCATCAATAATAGCCGTGAAACCGTTGAAGACCGTGCGGACGATGGCTGTGCCATTCAAATTTCAATGCATTGCATTGCGGCTCATCCGCCGAACCGCACGATAAACGACATGTGGCCTTGGCCAAACAGGCACTTGATGGGGTTCTTATGCAGGTACGATGTGACATTGCTGCGTACGCTGCCCTCGGCTGCCCCCATCACAAGTCAAGTTCTTGTTGCTTCGGGGCAGCGAGGGTGATCATTTCATTGAGGCCCCGGAATTCGGCCCTGTCAGCTACGAAGATCCACATATTGCCCTATGGACGCTTGATAGGGCCGTTTCCGCATGTCGTCCACCAACGACTCCGAACCTCATCCGAGAATGCTTCAGAAGGCACCCATTTGAAAGAGCCAACTGTCACATATCCTGACCTGAAGGTGTTGTTGTCGGCCTGTCAAGATCTAACGGTTCAGCACACAACTCTGGCTGAGACTGATCCAAACGATGGAGTGGATTGACCTGCATATGGTAGGCTACGAACGATGTCAAGAGCGATCGAATTATCATTTTCAACCTATACAGATTTATCTATAGTGTCGGAGTCGATGGTAGCTCACACTGCCGGGATTCAGCATTGTGGGATTTCTTCCTTTGTCTACAACGATATTGGAGGGAAACTAGCAAAGCTTCCAAATATACGACATCAGGTATATCTTCATAGATACGGCTAACTAGCACAGCAAAACGTATAGTGATTAAGGATGCCCATCTCCTCAATCCTTGTATTGGGCAACATCCATCGCCAGTCACGAAGACCTCACGTTCTGTAGAGCGGGCAGACTGCTTTCTCAAGACTTCTCCGCATGTCGCCAATTGGCTGCATCAGAAGACGTGACACGATGTGCGTAGCACTGCAGAGAATGATTATCTAGCTGCTTGACAATTGCGTATTACTCTCGTTCTTACGTAGAGACTTGGCTCTCGTGGCATACAATATTCTTCCGGAAGCCTCCCCGTTGCTCTCACTCACCATCGTCACAAACTCAAGTCTTGCTGCTGTGAATGTGATCGTCAAAACATGACGACCGTCAGCATAGACACGCCTCGTCCAGCCGGGGTACACAACTACACGGTCACGGGAAGCACCTCAGGAGTTTTTATTGCCCCAACTGGTATCCCTCTCACGACTGTTTTCACTCCAGAGCCCGGCTGCATGAGTAACTGGTGGTATGATCCAGCACGGCCCGACTCTGTTGACAATGGCAGTAGAGATCAGTACAATCGCTGGTGGTTGAACTGTCTGCCCTATCACGAAGAGCTGTTTGAGTTCAGCCCTGGTATATGTCCCAGCGGGCAGGTTTTCAAGACAGTCGTGGAGAACCGGATCCATATTTTGACGGAAGACAAATTCTATACCTTCTATGCCGCAACATGTTGCTTCAGGTTAGCCTTCATTGACCCCACGATAGCTGAGGCTAACATCGGTGGCTGACTTTGTTAACCAGTCAATTCACATGTGGTAGAAACAACGACTATTGCTATACACCCTTCACGAGCCCTCTGACAGTAAGGTATTATGATTCTGTGATATCCGCTAGCTCCTTGACTCAAACCACAACGGTCTTGACGACTCCGATCAAGGGAGTAGTATTCCGGAATCCTACTATATATTGGCAACCGAAAGATATATCGTCGTTTCCCGAATCCTTAGCTGCGTCTCTGAGGGTAGCCATGGGCTTACCTGCATTTACAAGCAACCCCTCTGCAACGGCTTTATCACCTTCCTCTACAATTCTACCTGTCACTATCCTACCATCTACCACGATACCAACCACATCATCACAAGGTTCGTCACTGTCATCGTCGTCGAACTCAGCAGCAAATTCAGAACGGGCAGCGATATCTCTGTCTAGGGGTGCAATCGCGGGCATTAGCATCGGTGCAGTCATCGTCCTTCTATTCGTCGGAATCATGGGCTTCTTAGCAATGTCCAGGCGCTGGCTAAGAAATAAGGAAGAGCAAGAGGGACAGCCAGCGGAGGCAGCAGAGATGGATCAAGAAAATAGTGTTTACAAACACTTCAGTGGCGGAGCCTGGAGATCCGAACTCGATTCCCGCAGCCGAAGCGAGTTGCAAGGAGGAATCAGCAATATGGATTCGAGAATAGTTCAAGCTCCAAAAGAGCTCCCAGCTTCGACCCCTGAGCCTCCGAAAGCCGTTTCGGAAGCATGCGAGGAGGTATTAGACAGAGACCGGCTCAGCACGAAGTAGTCTTTTCACATACCATACATACATACATACATACAGCCACGTCCGGCGTAACTGAAAATGATTCAAAAAAAAAAAAAAAAAGAGTCAAAAGAACGATAATGAAAAGAATGTACAAAAAAATAACCCCCTTGAAGACATATCACTACCTTATGTGATATTGCCTATGCCCACATGCCCCGAACCCTCAGACCACCCACAAGCGTAAGCGACGGACGAACCTGCTAAGACGTATCAAAGCGACTCACTAATATGTTGTCATGGACGTGGTCAGTTGGGGGATCGAACCCCTGCCCCCGGCGCATGGAATGCGCACAGTACCCACTGAGCCAACTGACTTGGCTCTTGTTGTCGTAGGTAGGCACTGATACACGTACCTATATACCTTAGCGCTCCTGCCCATACTCCCTTACAGTGGTTGCAGTTGCCATTCGACTGATTATTCGGGGAATCAGCTTTGTGGTACAGAGCACCCTCCAACCGAGGCCATGCGGATAACACACCTCTCCTCTCTGAGGTAGCATCACATTCCCAAACACGGTAGGGACCATTCAAAAACGCAATATATGGTATTGTAAACACCGAATTCAGCCAGGCAATCCTCACCACCGAGTTGAAGACTTGAGAATGAGAATGCTTACAAGTGTCTGCCAACGCCATTTCTCAGTGGCCCCTTGGGTCTTGCCACAGTACCGCCACAACCACCGAGCAACATCACAACGATACAACCTGACCCCCGTATCCAAGGAATTAACAAAATCACCTCTTTCAGGCAAACACTCCGCTTCACCGCGTGCCCATCTCTGCACTCGCCAAGCAACATACCCATTCCAGACCTAAACCCTAAGCAAAAGACTTCGAATAAATTTAACCAACGGCTATCAGGCAAAAGCAGCCCTACTTTGCCATAGCAACCCCAACAGGCTCCCTCCCTACTGAACCGATAGGAACGAATGATAACTCACAAGATCTTAGCACCTTGACGGATTCGTCTACATAATCGATGCCATATCACCATGCTTGTATTCCTCTTCCATCGTTTTCACTAAGAGAAGGCTTAAACTCTGCGTCGTACAATCGCATCATCCTAGTATGTCCTGTAACACTCATCGCGTGACTCCAAATCTCAGGGAACCCTAACGGCAGAGATACGAGGATCACGCATTTTCTCGTTGAATATTCCTCACGACCTGGCCTAGACTAGCGAGCACATGCCCGAAGATACCGTGTTTTAATGTTCAGAATTTTAATAAGACGAGGATGCAAACCTACACTTCAATTTCTTCGGGACCTTTCCCAGGCATGTACCTGTAGGCTCGATGCGTCCGTCTGTTTGTGTATTCATTTAGACAAGAGTCTTCCCGCTCCCTTCAACTAGGTCCCCTTCACTCATCTCGTCGTACAGTTATACAGTATATCGACATCACCACCGAAGTGATCAGCTAACGTAATGACGGGGTACATCCAGGAACGAAGCTCTAGCGGGCGCGGCCGTATTTATCTCCTTTCTACATCATGTCACGACGCCAACTTCCACAACATAAAGAGGGCATAAGGTAAATGGGGACTGCTTAACGATACATACATGTACAAACTCAACTCGAACGAAACCATCCTCTTTGCTTTTCCCCTTTCTACCAAAGGACACCACAAGCATGACTGTCGGTAGTGTTGTATGCTTCGTGTCGCTTTTGTCAAGACTCCAAGATAAATTCGAGTACATTGTGAAGGATACTCATGTTTTTACTAGTAGTACACATATCTTCGAACTTATTAGTCCTTTTCTAGTATATACAGGTCCACTTCCAACCCATATTACAAATACATGAAGACGTTCCCTATCGAGCGAAGGCATCAACAACGAAACAACCCCAAAGCACCCATCCCTTACCTAACGAACCGTCCTTCGAGGCGCATCGCTCCGCCCCGTAAGTGGCTCCCCAGTAATCTTATCAGCTGGTCTCGGGTCGCCCGGCCTCGGATCACCCGGCGCCGGCGGATCACCTCGCTTCGTAGGATCCCCTGGCCTCGCGGTAGCGTCTGCCGGCCGTGCTGGATCTCCTGGCCTCGGTCTTGCGGGATCGCCCGGCCTGGAAAGCGGATCTGCCGGGTCAGCGAGCGGATCGGCTGGGTCCGTGTCTCGTGTGTCCCTGTCCTTGGGGAATCTCCTGAACAGATCGGAGAGGCGGTCGATAGGGGCCGTCAGAAGACCCATGACTGTCTCGAAAGGCGGATGTTCTCCCGCGCTGGGGTGGGCGCGCGATGGAGCGAATGCCTTGGTGCTTTCGAACGATGCGGCGAGGTCTTCAGATTGGCCCGGGTCGTCCTTTAGCGCATCCTCGAGAGCAGGCAGGTCGTTTTTCTCTTCTCCATCGATGTGGTCGGATAGGATGCTCCAGATCTTCTTCAGCTTGGGCTCAAACTCGGGCTGTGTGGAGTCCATTTTCTGAAACTCCTTCAACTCCTCTTTCACCTAACTCGCGGTCAACAAGTGTCTCTCTCTCAGCTTTGCGTAATTGAGATTACCCTGCGATGTTCCGCACGATCTTCCTCGGCCATCTCTTTTCCCTTGGCACCCAGGTAATCCTCAAACGCAGGATAGATGACGAGCTCTTCGCCGACGGCATGGCGAGCCAGCTCCCACACAAACTGATTACCGTAACGTTGCTTATGGTCAGGATCATCTGAACTGACTACCTCATTGTAGTAGTCCTTCAGCTCACGATGGTCCTTGGTGACGGCGTCGGAAACAGTGGCCATGGTAGCGGGATTGGCGACTCTGATGAAATTGGTGCTTTGGAGGCGGTGAGACCTGAAGGCGCGGAGAACAGACTTTGAAAGAGCAGGCATGCCGTGATGATTATAATGATGCCTTGGAGACGGGTTAGAAGTGATAGGAAGTGAAGACGCTGTCAGAGCAAATTATATTTCGAAAGCAAGGTCCTGGTAACCACTGATCATGTTGATGCTTGACAGTGCGTGTCTCCCAGGCATGGGTTGCTTTCGCACCATAAGAGACACGGGACCGTCATCGCGACGACAGACTGAACGCAGAGGTCCGTCATGCGTACACCAGAGCAGCGCTTGGTCATCGGAGAGAAGTGCCTTCATAAGGGAGCTTGGGACAGTTATATTGAGAGCTTACTAAATGATGGTGCTCATTGGTCAGATCCAGTCGTTGCATCCAGGTCAATCCTGGGGTGGGTCTCGTCACCACTCGTCATGGATGCGAGATTGACTTCAAATTCACACGATCATATGGTTGTACATTGACGTCCTCGAAGAAGGGGAGTCTTGAGGTAACAATGATACGGTCGAATCGTTCCGTTGTACTGGACAAGGGATGAAGCTTGTGAATCTTCTATCAATTGACTACCTAGCAAGCCAACTAGCGAGCTGTCCGAGTCTATCATGAACATGTCTTTCATCATTTGATCTCTATTATCTGCTCTGAAGCAAACACCACGCTCGGTGTAACGCACAACGAGTACCCAGACTCTTTCTCAGGCATATATGTAGATGTAGTAGTGTATTCGATCGATCAAGGCTTGCAACGGCCCATGAAGCGAGGATACAGACACGTGGTTCGGACAGTATGTTGGTTAGCGATCCAAGCGAGGAAACGTTCGAGGCCCAGACCATAACCGCCATGAGGCGAAGTGCCATACCTATGTCATGTAAGCAAAGGCTATAATGAAAGCACATCCGCATGGGAGTCTCGGAGAACTTACTTCCGCTGGTCAGTATACCAGTAATAGTCCTTTGCAGGAATACCCTGCTTCTCATAAGCCGCCAAAAGCTCCTCGTAGCCCTCCATTCTCATACTTCCACCCACGATCTCGCCGACACCCGGCATCAAGCAATCTACACTCTCGGTAACACGCAAGTCGGAAGGATCCTTCTTCATGTAGAAGGCCTTGATCTCAACTGGGAAGTGGGTGAGGAAGATAGGTCGGTTGATGATATCAGTCATCTTGCGCTCGGCCGCTTCAGCAATATCATCACCAAAGACATGTGGGTGTCCGTCCTCGTTGGGGATGGGGGGGTCCTGAGCGTTGAGCCAATCGATGGCCTCGGCGTACTTCATACGTTTGAAGGGACGTGTGGGTTTCTGGAAGTCGGGGTTGAGCTCCTTTATATGACCTGCGATCGTGGGGTTGGCAAGAACAAGGTCGATAACCCGGCACATCACCTCCTCGAGATGCTCGAGTAGGTCGTTGAAGTCGATGTAGTCGAGCTCGGCCTCAACGTGGGTGTATTCGGAAAGATGGCGGCGGGTCAGACTCTTCTCGGCACGGAAAGATTTCTCGATACAGTAGACATCGCCCAAGCTAGGCAGGACGGTCTCGAGGTATAGTTGGGAGGACTGGGTCAGGTAGGCGGTTTCGTCGTAGTACGGGGCGCTGAACAAAGTAGCTCCACCTTCGACCTGCGTCTGCACGAGCGCAGGGGGCGAGACTTTGGTGATCTCCATATCGTCGTACACTTTCTGGAAGGCACGCTCAACAGCAGCTCGGATCTTCATGATGGCAGAGGCGTTCTCGCCTCGCAGGACGAGATGTCTGTTGTCCAACATCTGCTGATCCCACTGGTTCTGTTGAGAAGATACCTTGTTGGTGATAGCGTCCTCGTCGCTGGGAGAGGCACCAAGAACCTCGTAGTAGTCAACATGCAGTTCCCTGCCATCAGGGGCAGATTGACCCTCAGGCACCTGGCGCAGCTCGCCGTACAGCGCCAACGATGTTCCCTGGGCAAAGTTGAGGGCATCGTACGTCTTGGTCAAGTCGCCGGCCTGAAGAACACACTGGAGCTGTCCGTATCCGTCTACCAAGGTAATGAATGTAGCCTGTTTCTGTGCGCGCAAACGGTGGATACGTCCCATAACCTTTACTCTCGTGCCAAACTCGATGTCCTTGCGCCCAATCTTGATCTTGACAGGGGCGGCCAGTGACTCGTCCTGCTTCAGGACAATCTTTCTGGCTGCCTCTTGGGAGGCTAACTTGGCTTTGTCCTGCTCGTCCTTGGCGGCGGCAGCCTGCTTTTGCTTCTGGACCTTCTTCTTGTGCGCGTCGAGGGCATTCTGGGCTTTCTTAACGGCGCTCTTGGCAGGCTCCTTCCACAACAATCGCACGACAGGATCCTCGTCGTCTGCTACGGGGCCGGTGACAGATGCACGGGTCCAGAACTGTGGTGGCTCCTTCTCGAAGTTCTGGATGTAGGCGAATGGGAGAGATTTGTAGGGCTTCAACTCGGTTCCGTCTGCTGTCTCGTCATCCTTGCCGGTATCGGTGTCGATGTAGCACTTCTCACACACTTTGGTGCGCTCGGCGAGCTCGTGA